GTTGTTACAAAGACACTGGGTTAGGTGGTGGCATTCCAGCCCCCAAGGACAACTGGGGAATTTCAAAGAAGCTACAAGCCTTTTCTCTACTTAGGTTTTTTTTTTTTTAGATTTGTTGGATCTTTTCTGTTTTACTCTTTTTCTGGGAGTTATCTGGGTATCTCAGTCTCTGAAAGGTCTTGCTCAAATTCTGAGTGGAGATTTACCTCTGTTACCATCACTCGACTTCAGGGGATTCCTTTGTAATCACACACGCTTGCAAAATAAATGCTTTTTGAAAGAATGAATTCTGAGAGCACCTGAAATGAGAAATCTGGATCCTGACCTGCATCAGACTGATTCTTAAGGAAGAATAAAAAACACCTTGTCTTAAGAAGGTCATTTGAGTCAAAACACAAGTGAACTTAAATCTACCAGGAAAAAAAATCAGGTTGATTAGGAATGATTTTCTAAGATTCAGTTCCTTGAGGAAAACACACCTTAGTTGTGATTCTAAATCTGTCTCCTGGGAAATCTTGGATGCCTGCTGATCATTTTGAATTCTTTGTCGCCCTTAACTTTCTGGCTGCATGTTAGAAATCATTTTAAATGAATTGAATAAAATTCACAAGTGTTATATGCCAGCAAATGATGAACTCACAGGAAATATGACTCAAATCCACTTTTTTCATTTTGGATTTTTTTCTTGTAATAAATAGAAATGAACAAATGTGGCTTTAATGACATCTTGGAGTGAGAGCTTTTATTGATATATCATCAGTTGGAAGCACGTAATGCTTTGGCGAAATAAACTCCATTCCACATATTTATAACCAGATTGAAAAAGGTGTGTTTGTTATTTTGTGTGACACCTCCTAATAATGGCGAAGTTGTATATATGAAGATATGCAAGCACCACCATAAAAACGAACAATGTTTCAGCTTACAAAATCTTCCCTTGACAGAAGATGTTTTTGTACTTACTTAGTTCCCAATTACTGCTTTAACCTGTGTGCACAACTTATAAATACCTTTTCCTCATCCCATAGCTGTAAACAGATGTTCCATATTGTGTCGCTTGGAACAAAATGTGGGGCGTCTGTTTGAGAGTGACAAGTCCTTCATTGGACACTGAGGTTATGGTCTTTAGCTAATTACACTTTGCATTGGGTCAAACTCTTTGGGCTGCAAAAAATAGGAGAAAAAAGAATCCACTGGCTCACGTAAGTTAGGATAGGGGCTGGCTTCAGGCACGGCATGATGGAGGTGGGCAAATGGTGTGCCTTCTCCTCCAGCTCTGATTCCGGATTTAGCTGAGCTTCCTCTTAAGAATATGCATTTAACCTGCAGTGTCCTGCAGGTTTATCACTGGCAGACAAGGGGGGGGTATGACCCCATGCCTTGCTCTCTGTGTGTAGACTGGACACAGACAGGCAGGGTCTGGGCACTGACAGAGGAAGGGACTTAAAGGGTCACGGTGACGGGCAGCGACCAGTGGGTGCAGAGCAGCAGTGAGTGTGTCCCGAGGCCGTGGCCCTGTTTAGATACTGGGACAAGTCAAAATCTTGCAGCCAGGGGCTGGCGTGTTAACTAAAACATGGTAACTTAAATCCGTGCATAGCGCACCACGCAAGTGAGGGCTGCCAGTGATCCCATACTGGAAAAATAACTTTGATTATAAAAGAAAATGACTTTTCATTCCTTTCTTTGTCCCAGGCAAACTCAAGGACTAAAGATAGACTACTGAAGAGCACACACGCTGGTGGAGGTCAGAGTCTTGACCGCCCTGGAGACCTCGTGGAACAATCTGTGATGCTATTCTGTTCAGATTCCCTGTGATACGTACATCTGGAGACATATATATTTATGGAAAATGATAAATATTTTTTTCTCCCCTACCTTCTGTCTAAGTAGGTCACGCTGGCAATATTTTGAGTCGTTATTACATTTCAGTCAATGTATTTTTTTAGGCGCATGTAGAATGTGGCTGTTCAATGCACCTGGGTGTAACAGTGAGTTCCTCCCACCTCAAAGCCCTGTGAATGTGAGTGTTCTCAGGAGCTAAACTGGGAAATTGGAGCATCATGGATCAAAGCACCGAAATGCAAAATCAGCTTAGGAATATGCATTTAAAAGCCATCGATGCCCTTAATACATGTAAAATAGATAAAATTTAACAATTGTTTATGTTGCTTTTTTATGAGAAGAATTTAGCCAAATTGTAGTAAAAGGATATGCTTTAAACAGGTCAACACCTATAGCAAATGTCATTCTTAGTGATGACAATTTAGATGGATCTCTAAGCTGGTGATACAGCATGCACACCCCGTCACTGCTACATTAGGTTGTTGCAAAGAATAGCATATAGGAGGGACGAGTACTAAAATGGATGCAATTATCATTGTTTGTAGCCAGTAAGATCATCAATAAAGAAAGCAGGAATTCAACAAATGGTTACAGGTAAGAAAAAAGTTTGTCAAGGTTGCTAGACTACCAATGGACATTTAAAATGTCCTAGGCGGGCCTCCCCTGGTGGCGCAGCAGTTGAGCGCTGGGCTGCGAAGCTGCCCGCAGCCTCTGCAGCACTGGTTCGATCACGGCCGGCCAGCATGGGTCTCACATGGCGCGCAGACCACTCCTGTCTTGCCCGCTGCTCCCCTCAGCAGTGTATTTTGTCAGTCTGCCTGTTCTGCTCCCCGCTCTGGCTCTGGTGAATTCTCTCGCTCTCCCATGTTTCTGACTGTACCCAGTGCTTATATAAATAAATAAATCTTTAAAAAAATAAAAAAAATAAAAAAAAATAAAATGTCCTAGGCACTAGTAAAAAATCAACTAGAAAATGTAAGGAAGCATCAAGGCAATCGTTAAGCCAAGAAAGCTAGAGGTAACCAGATGGAAGGTATTAACACAGGTAAGCAACCATGTGGCTACTTAGGGGGCCGGGGAAGCCACGAATTCAAGGTCAAAGGGGATGACAGAGAACATCAGTGAAGCCCAGGCGACCTCATCTCATGACACAGATGCCTGATATAACTGTCAAATATTAAATACCATGAAACCAATTAGTTCCTGAAGCCATTCCATTGCCCAATTACATATACCTAAATCACCTGCGGTCACCCCATTCCCTAAGATTTCAACATATTTGCTTAGTGCCTTGTACCTGCCCTTGGGAGTCAAATGCTGCCCAACCATTTACCCAGTCGTTGGCCTCTGGTGGCCCAGAGGTTGTTATTAGCTCATTAGAATCAAACCTTTCCAAAGAGGAGGCCTTAACTAGGACCTAACCCCTCTTCTTTACCTGAAAGTCAAGAACTGGAAATTCATGGATTCTACAAGTGCTTCTCGCATGCATTGCTTGGAAGGAATTTGATCTTTTGAGCCTACTCACCCCAAGAAAATGCAACATGCACATTTATGAAAATATCACAGTTTCCAGGGGCTACAAAGAGCTCCAGAAACATGTCCAGGATCGCACCCCTGCTCCGTGCCCTGGGACGCCTCTGTCCCCAGATGCTCTGACGCGCAGCACATTGGGCTGAGTGCACCGTGTGGCCTGCGTTACCTCATCTAACCCCTCTGAAGCTCAGCTGTCCTGCGCGCACTGCGGTCACTTCCCCCTCTCACTGGGCAAACATGCTGTGGGTTGCAACCAGGCATCTTCCCGCCACACAATCAATAACCAATCAATGTAGTTATGATGATCATTTCATCAGTCATCCCATGACTCAGTATTTTAATATTTTTTTTATCTTTTTTGTCCTTTATAGTCCACCCCAGACCTTTATAGTCCACCCCAGAGCTGTTCAAGCTCGGCAGAACTGCTATTTGCCGCCAGCTCACTCTTTGGGGTGGAGCTGCCCTGTGCTTTGAAGGATATTAGCAGCATCCCTGGCCTTGGCCCCTAATGCCAGGAGCACAGACATGAGGACCAGCAGTGTCTCCAGCCGCCACAAGTGCCCCTCGATGGGCTCCATCACCCCCGACTGACACTCCCCGCCTGGTTGTCGACATGGGTCTTTCCAGATTATTTTAATGGCAGAGGCAAAAGTAATCATAATATTTAAAATGCTACCATTGCACAAAAAACCTAAATAGACACTCCTCCCGGGAAGAGATGCAGATGGCCTGTTGAAAAAATGTCAACATCACTTATATGTGGGAAATTGCAAATCAAAACCACAAGGATATATCACCTCATGGAGAAGGCCCTTGTCCTGCAGACAGGAAGCAGCGTGGGCGCGCATGGGAAGAAAAGCAACCATGGCCACTGTGGGTCAGAACAGAAACTGGTGCAGCTTCTAGGGAAACAGTACAGAGACGCCTCAAAAAAACCAAACAAACAGTGGAAGTACCACCTGATTCAGAGATACCACTCCAGGCTCACCCAAAGAACATGCAGAGACCCATGCACAAGCACGTGCACTGCTGTGTTCACGACAGCCACAGGCGCCCTCCCCGAAACATGGAGCCAACCTAGGTGTCTTATTGCCCCAAGACGAGGGGTAAAGAAACTGTAGAAGGTACACTGCAGGGAAGACTACTCCCCTCTCACAAAACATCAAGTAGCCCGGGGTGGGGGCAGGGGAAGGAGAGGATCTGAAGCTGACTGGGCTGAGAGAAATTAGACAGAAAGTAAAAGGCACTGGGTAGTTTCCCTCACGTGCAGAATATTAATAACCAAGAAAATAAGCTGACAAAATACAACAAAAATCTTAGTCTCCGTGAAAAATAAAAAGTAGGGCCTGGAGCCTGGCGGGGAGGGAGGGCGGCAGCCGGGCTGGGAGCAGGGAGAGGCCTTGGCACGCGAACAGGGGGGACCCCCAGGCTCACACGAGCATTTGGGCAAAGGTGGGGCAGGGGCTGCGGTAGATGCCACCAGAGGACGCGTCTGGGCTGTGGCCTGAGAGCACGTTCCCTCCTGTAGACAAAGGTGGCTGAGCTTCGCGAATGCAGTTTGTGCAACACCTGGAAGAAGCCACCAGACACGGTCATGACACAGAGGAACGGGGGAAACGCACCTGCGCCCTGGCGGAGAGGTCAGCGGCGGTGACTGGGGGGAGACAGGCGGATTCCGGCGGGATGAAGGGTCGAGCCAGCAGTGAAGCCATCCTTGGACTAGGCCAAGCCTGCAGTTGCGCCGAAACCCCGGGAGCAGCCTTTTAAGAGCCTCAAACCAGTCAGGTGTGTGTAGGTGGCCCACCTTCGCCGCCGTGAGGTTGTGCACCCGGAGCAGTTAAGCTGTGGGCCGCCAAGTCTCTCACAACAGGTGTAAGGTCAGGAATGGACACTGAGCAGGTTTTCTAGGATCCAGCAGACCGGGTAAAGGAGGAGTCCTGGAGCCCTCAGGGGTTTTGCAGGTTGTTATTGGGATCACCAGGTACACAGCAGGCAGGGGTGCTGGGGGGCCGGGAGGCTGGCAGGCCTCCCAGCCCCCAGCAGGTCTTCACTCTGGGCTCTCCGGCCTTCTCTCAGCTTCTTCTTCTCTTGCTTCTCTCTCAGCTTCTTCTACTGGTGTCCCCATGACGCCACCCTTAAAAGCAGTCTCAGCCCAGGTGAATCCCATCTATCTATGCCCACGCCCTATTCCAGGTGCCCCCATCAGGCATGCATTCAAGAACGCAAGGATCCATCATCTGTCCTGATGGCAGGAGGGCAGAAAAGTCTGATCCCTTTTACCTTACCCTACAACAGGGCAAGCCTGGAGGTGAATCGGCTGCAGGACAGGAGGCTGCTGGCCCCGCCCTGCCCCACAGGCCACCGGAAAACCCCCAGGGCCTTGACCTCAGCAGCAGGAATCCACCTGCCCTCAGGGAGCCCTGCCCCACAGGGCCTATTTTCCTTTGTCCAAGCCAGTGAACCCCCATGCACCTTCTGAAGTAGCAACAAATAAGCTCCCCTCTTGACAGAGGTGGAAACCAAGGTTTGGAGAGGTTAGATGCTGCCCCAGAGGTTAGATGCTGCCCCAGGGCCGCACAGCCAGGGAGGGGCTGCCTTGAGCAGGTGGGGGAGGGGGCTGGAATCTTCCAAGTCAGAGCTAAACAGACTAAGAACTCTGGAATAGGGCGACTCTGCCCAAGACTCATTTGTATTGTATTAATATTCAGCTTTGTCATTGGCTGGTGCCCTCCACATCTTAGCTGTGACACTGAAGGTGATGGGGGTAGAAATAAAGCTGGGGGCCCAGGCGTGGTTATCTGCCTCATCCCTTCACCCCATAGTGGTTAAAACCAGTCCATAGGAGACTGTTGCCTATGAGCTGAAATCTAGGCCAGGTATTTCCAGGTGACTTACTTTGCTTTCACATTTACAAAGAATTTTCTGCTTTGGCATCAATATCCCCATTATTCAGGGAGCAAACCCAGGTAACCGAGCCATGGAAGAGGGAGCTAAGACTCAAATCCAGCTCTAGCTGAAGTCCAAAGCAAAAGGGTTTTCCATCGGATCAAAACAAACACACTAAAATTAAGTATCTTGTGCTCTGACATCTTTTTCATGTTTTCAATTTTTTTGCCATGTGTGACCAATTAGCACAGTTGGCTAGAACATGGTGCTAATGAGGCCAAGGTCAGGGGTTCAATTCCCTCATGGGCTGAAACTCCATGCTTCCTTCCCAGAGTCACAGGCTACAGCCTGAACCACAGCTGGTCCCTCCCAGGAGCAACGTGTTGGTCATAAGTGCAATTGAGAAAGTCTTGCTGAATCACGTCACTCCATCCTCCCTTCTGGACCCACCCAGAATGCACACAGCGCTGATGCTGGGACGGTAGACATGACAAAGACCAACACTATTCACAGTTGAATAAACTGACAATTTCTGCCTATATCCCATAAAGTTTCACTACCCTTTTTAAGGGTCAGTGAGGCTGTGACTTTATTCTCAAATACTTGTGAATATTTAGAGAGGTGCTAACATTTCAAGATGTTGAATGAGAAGTGCAGTGATACCTCAATTACTTAAACTCATACCTCAATTACTTAAACTCATAAGGAGATGAATTATTTTGTATATGTAAATTATGTTCAGATAATGGAAGTGTCTCCTTAGCACCAAGACATTTTCATATTAGAAATTTTGATGGGAATCTTTTGAAATGGGAGTCACATTTCCCTGCCTTCTCAGATAGGAGAAATGGAGCATCCTTTATCCTAGGTATCTGTGCTTTCCAAGAAACTCAATTTAAACATAGTGATTTTTTAATTAAAAAGAAAGGGATGGACACTGATGTACCAAGCAGGAAAGTCGATATTAACACCATACAAGATAGAATTTAAGGTTAAAGTAATAACAGGCTATATGGGAATATGATGTAATGATAGATGTATATCTAAAGAAAATGCAATCATCATCAAGCTATATGCACCAAATAAAATCAAGTATCCCATTATCATGACCATAATGAATAACAAACTGCAGTAGAACGAAGCAAGTACCATAAAGAAGGTCTCAGAGCTGCTGGGGACCCAAGACAAACCTTTTTCCTACCCCATAAGGTTTTGGGGGAACCAAGCGATGAGGATTATGAACAATAAGATTACACTGCATCTGTTCTGCCAAAGCACCTCTTTATGTTGGCACAAGGCAGGCTGAACATAGACGGAGAATTATAGGAAATATTGCAATTAGCCATAACCGTCACTATTTACAAATCTTGGCTAAGAAAGATCGAGAAAAGTGTTTTAATCATGGCAAGGTGGAACACTCCATCTCCCTTTATTTTGGCACTTAGATTCCTTATCTTTTGCCAGCCACATTCAAATGTAAAGTCTACAAATACATAAATTGTGTCATTCCTCTGAGAGGTTGACAATTTTATTCATCGATGTGCCACAAGGGTTTATCCCAGCTAAATGGAGTCTGGAGGTGGGGAGGGGGCTAGATCAATGAGCTTTTAGCTTGTGAACAGCACTGTATATAAATTAAGGGAAAATACTCACCTGATTTGACACAAATCATCCGTCCAGAACTCGGGAGATAACTCTGGTGTTGCCCTTACCCTATTGTGTGTTCCCCACAATCAATTATTAAACCTATTGACAACAATATAAAAGAACTCGAGGGTACGCTGAAAATCAGGGCCTATTTCACTCAGTGGCGTCTCAACCATCAAATGTATTTGTTCACGGAAAACCTTGGAAGAGACAATATGTCCCTTTGCTCAGCTGTTTTCGTTTCTGTAAAATTAGTAATTGGAGAGGGAATGCCACTAATTCCCATCTCTCCCTTTGAAAGTTACTGCGGGGCCCTTTATCAAATTGAATACTGTGTAACTGTGCTCTGCAGAAATGAGTTAACCCATTAGCTCTCCTCTGATTGCATCCATCAAGGAGCCCCTTCAAAGCAAGTTCTTCCATTTTTTTATTATCACTCCTTATTTTGTTAATCTTACCTTATTTGCAGCCTTTTCCGGAGAGTGATCTGTGTCCCTCCCATGGAGTAATTCATCAGTTATTACAATAATTTTCACTTATAACAGGCTCACTCATTAAAAATTCATTTCGATATTGGTGAGAAGTAGTTTAACACTGTGGTTTTAGAGCACTGTTTTCTTGAACTCTATTAGAAAAAAAAAATGTTATAAATGCATTGAATCCCTGATTCCAAAGTAACTATGACTCATTAATTAAGTAATTAGCTAGTAAGACCCATTTCTCCAGGACCCCAGTTGACAATCGAAGCTCTTATCCACTTTTCCAAAGAGTGTGAATGAACATTAGTGCAACTGTCCACCCCCACCTGCTATTTACTTTTAAATCCCATTTCCATGCAACTCTACCCCATTATTACTTAAGTCTTCACCTGAAGTTAATAACAAAACTGAGTGCAGAATTATAAGCCTTGCTAATATGTTAATGGAATTTCCAATTGTTCATTTTAATTGTTATTTTAAAATTACTACCTCAGTTTCCAACTATTTGGAAGTCTGAAGTGCCCCGATTACGCCAGAAATTACAAAAGTACATTAGTCCCCACCATCAAGCAGTTAATGCTCTACTTTGGGAAATGATACATCAAAGAACAAAATTTTACCTTTCAGGGAAGCTAAGTGGGCGGATGTGTATGTCAGTGTGGGGAATTCTAGTTCTCTCCATGGACATGGTTAGAAAACAGGGCCCTCCCCTGTGCAGGATCTCCACAGGGGCTGGCGAGTTGGGGGGCTTAGAGAACATCAGGCAAGGAAGAGGAGAAGCTGAGTGATGAGGGATGAGACAGATAAGGATGTTCTCAGTAATGGGGATGTGTGGGGGCAAAGGACTGTTTCCGGGCCCTTTCTATACGGCACATTGAGTACACATAGCAGCTAGGTTAGCCCCTTCAAGGAACCTGCAGCAAGGATTTTAAATTTCCTCAAGTGCTGTAGCTATACATACGCTGTATGATATTAGCCTGATCTGTTGGTGGTGATCATGACCTCCAGGCCTCCTTCCTAACGCTGGATAAAACCAGAATCCATAATTCTAAGGTCTGTAACAGCAGGGACCAGTAGTGCACTTACTGCCAAGCTGATGAGCTTACTTCTGGGGCCCATCACTTGCCCAGGCCCCTCTGAGGCCCTTAATCCAATTTTATATATGTAATTTAATGTTCTTTTCCCCAAAAGGGCCCTCCAATGGGGGTTCTATCCCCATGAAATCCAGCTCTCCCTTAGTGGTGACCATATCCGTTCCGTTCTCTGTACCCTCAGCTCCTCTCATGGTGTCTGGCCAGCAACAGACACCAATGATGTTTGATGAGTCAATAAGTGACCGATTCAATGAATAAACAGGGCAATAGTGATTTGCACTCTTCACAAAAGCATTGGAGGCCATCATGAATAAAGGACATGATTTATTATTGCCTACTGATTTAGCCAGACAGTAAAGGCCATTGGAGTTTAAAAAGAAGTCTCCTCACAGGTGTGTTGAAGAAATAACATGACAATGAACTACAGGAGCTGACAACTGGAGACTGTTCAGACTCTGAGCCTGAATCCCACCTCCTCGTTCACCAGGTAGAACTCTGCAACCTCTCTCTCTCCATCCAGGACAGAAAAAGCATCCGTGGTTTCAGTGAGCCAGGCACTGTGGTCAACGACATCCAGACCTGAAGGGGAATGCCCATATGTCCTAGGGAGAGTGGGTGCTGACCATGCCCTATTATAGTTCATCAATGTTCAAGGTATGACTCCACATCCCACATTTAATATTCCCCGAAACTCGGTTAGTTAGGTGTTATTCCAATTTCGTAAGTGTAAACTTGAACCGAGAGACACTAGTTCTGTGCAAAGGTGTTAAGTGAGAGAGCTGAGATGGACCACAGGCTACCAGATGCCTCACCCCCACTCCTGACCATCACCCCTTTTAGTTCTAGCCTACCGAGAATTCAGGGTCCATGCAGGGTTCAAATCCCAGCTCAGCCCTTCTCAGACC